TTCTTTGATAGAGAGCTTAAAATCATCAAAGCCTATGGTAAGGGTGGGATTCTGACTCTCTAATAGGTAGTTTAATTATGGGTAAATAAGGATATTGAATGTTAGGTTTTTGGGGTAAATTTTGTGAAATTGATTGTTGTAATTGCTTATAAATGATGAAATTGATGTGCTGATTGTGTTGGTTTTATGGTATATGATGTGTGTCGATGATTTAAAATAATTGATGTATTTAATCTTTCATAAAAAGTGGTTTTTGGATGAAGAAGATGGGATTTCGTAGCAGAAAATTCAGATTTTTGGGACTGTTCGCGATGAGTAATCGGTTACCATATATGGGTAACTGGTTACTGTTGTTTGTGTTTTTGAACATTTGGCTACTAACTTGCAGTAACCGGTTACCGTGAGGAATTTTGGAAAAGCAGAGTTACTGTCTTGTAGTAACCAGTTACCATAACTGGGTAACCAGTTACCGCTGAAGCTGACAAAATTTATTGAAAACTTTTAAAAATCATAACTTTTGCCTAGGGTGTCCGTTTGACGCACTGTTTGAACCATAGAAAAGCTAAAAATATTTTCTATAATATGAAATTAACTTTTATAATAATGGTCTAATAATTAATCGAAACGATTATGATGAATGTATATGTTGGATGAGTCGTGACACCAAAAGTGTTGTGATAAGCCGTGTTTGTCGTGCCCATGATGTGCAAAGAATTTACAGGTGATGTTGCATTACTAAGAAGGTGATGCTGGCTTGATAATTGGCTTAATTTTGATGGTATGCTTGTAATTTCATAATTATGATTGTAGTATGTCGCATTTCATGCATCGTTGAGGGCTTATGCCCTAGCATGTATTGGAAATTGTTGAGGGCTTATGCCCTAGCCTATATGGAAATTTGTTGAGGGCTTATGCCCTGATGGTATCACATGCATTTTACATCGGAGTCAGTTGCACTGCATTTGTTGAATTGTTAAATTGTGAAATTGTTGAAATGGTGTGACTAATAATTGTCAAACTTGAATTCTTGCATGATATTTTTAACGTTTACTTATAATTATATAACCTATTATATTATTATGATATCTCACCCTTACTATTTGAATGTTTCCTCCACGTGGGTAACGTGCAGATAGCCAGGAGTAGTGCGAAGTCGTGGAGTCTAGAAGAGGTTGCTTTATCTTATTGAGTGTGTGTCATTGCTCTGATACATAACACCGAGGGGATGAATGCTCGATTTTTTATTTAATTGATGTCTTTTTTGAGGATTTTGGGAGTGTTGTAGACTCTCTTTTAATTGATTAAATTGTTGATTTTATAATGGTTGAAGATTTTAGTATAACTATGAAATTCTTCCCGCTGTGTTAATAAAGTTGAAGTTTGAAGATCATGTTAAAATATTGTCGGTTCATCCGAAATATGTGTTATGTATCTGTCTTATCTTAACTGAGAAAATTTGAATATGTTGAACGATATGACATCCTATTTTTGAGTTTTATTTTACTATGATTTTTATTAAATTTACCGTTGGGGAAATAGGGTGTTACAAAGTACACGCAAACAACAAAAACAAAAACAAAAATGAGGCAAAGAAATGGCTATTGAAAGTGAGATGCGGCCGACATAACTGTTGTGTAGAGGGAGGTGACCAGCGGAAGGGAATTCAGGTGACAGAAAAAGGTGTAACCGGAGAGTTTGAAAGAAACAAGCATTATGAGTGGAGCTTCCTAAAGGGTGGTAACATGCCTGATGAGGTTAGACATATTGTGAGAGATTTATATCTGCTGGAGTTAGCTCAGTGCTCCTTCACCATGCTCGACGCCTCCCTTCTATCAGATTTTGTTGAGAGGTGGCACCCAGAGACATCATATTTTCATCTTCCGTTTGGGGAAATGACCATGACAATTGATGATGTCGAAGCCTTGTTTCACACCCCGATAGTTGGTACATTCTTAACTCCTCCTCATATTAGCCAGCCGACGACATTGCGCATGGTCATGGATGATTTGGAGGTATATAAGGGGAAGGTACTAGAGAAGTTTGGTGTTAACTGAGGATTTCACCTTCGGGTGTCTTGGTTGAGGACATTATACAGGGAGCTGGTGGAGACCCATAGATATGAGGCTGCCACTAGGGCGTACATGCTATATTTTATGGCATGTACTCTCTTTGCGGATAAGTCTGGTTATTATATTGATGTTCACTACTTGTCTCTATTCAGTACACTAGAAGTTCCATATTGGGCTTGGGGAATGACAACGTTAACCATGTTGTACACAACACTTGGAGTTGCTTCTCATCCTGAGACCAGACAACTAACTGGTTATCTGAGTCTATTTCAGGTATACTAGCATTTGTTTGAGTATCTGTTATCTGGTGTTTATCAATTTATTTAAGTATATGAGTTATCAATTTATTTATGCAGTGTTGGATATATGAGCACTTCCCCAACATCTGTGACCGGAAGATCCAGCGTGTCTCGGCTAGTGATCCAGGAAGATGAGATGGAAGGGCAAGCAAGTCCATGCATGAGGTGTTCTGAAGTACAGGAGGAGGCTTGACGCTCTGACTTTAGATGATGTCGTCTAGACACCATATACATCTCATTGGGCCCATCGTCCATTTGACGACGCAGATGTGTATTCAGGGCATATTAGGTGGGAGAACCACGTGGCTAGACACTTTCCTGAGTGGTGTCTGTGATAGTATAGTTACGTCCAGGGCATCCCTCGTCCAGTTCCAGAGTCTCCATCTGGTGCCATTAACATGTGGTTCCAGAGTCACATCATCAGCTCTGCCCGTGAGATCAGGGATACATCAGTTATGGTCTAGGATCCTACACAGTGTGAGGATGGATACCTAGAGTGGTATCACATCATATCACACGCTTGGGTCATACTACCGACTAGGGTTTCTGATGTATCGAGGCCTTCACGCGATAAGGTTTCTGACGTGCCTCCATCACCACCTCCACCACCTGTAGGTGACTAGGATAGCCACCTACAATTTATTGTTCTTCATTTAGATAACCTCATGGGTTTGGTAAACCTTGATATACAGGTTTAGCTAGGTTAGCGAACGTAGCCCGTGGGAGCGTATGTAGATCTGTTATATTTTGACTATATTATTTGTATATTTTGAGGCACATAGACTTCTCATTTATTGCATAATATTTTGACGATTAAATTTTTCGATTCGGAGATGAACATAACATAAAACAGTACAACAAACATAAATTAAAAATAACTAAACATGGAAACCTAGGCACTACCAGATGATTCTAGACGTTTTAGCATCTTCATTATACCGTCGATGGTTCTTGTTATCCGCGTATCCAACTTGATCAAACCTTAGTTATCCTATGCCGAAATAATTTCCACATGGCCTTAACATCTTTGTCGATCTTCAACTCAATCAAGTTGTATTTCACCATTCCATCACTATCAATCCAATATTTTCGAAACTCGATCTTACTCACCCTTCTGTTATCGCTATCAGACACCAATTCATTCAATTTGTCTATCAAGTTGGCGAGGGATGTGACACCATCTGGAAGCTTGAATTTAACAGGAGGATTATTTCTGTTGAAATACACTTCTGCCTTAATCAGAAATTGTGGAAGAGGCATTTTCTTGAGATGTCTTTGTCTCTAACATATGCCCCTATTTATACAAATGGTGATGCATTCTAGACCACACAAATATGTCGGTGCAATCAGAATCCTCCAAAGTTGTCGATAAAATCCCGATCGTTAAAAAACTTGAATTATAAAACTATTAGAAATTTCAGTATATTTGAAATTTCCGATACTGTCTCGTAAATTTGAAATTTCCAGTGTATCGGAAATTTCATATGAACTGCCGAGAATTGTTAAGTACTGAAATTTTAATACTGACATACTGAAAATTTCCTCTGTACCGGAAATTTCACTTATTCTACCAAAAATTTCATCGGAAAATGCTTCTCAAATCAGCAAGAATATTTCAGAAATAACGAAAATGAGGGGATACATACCAGATTTTAGTGAGGAATTTCAAGTTAAAACCTCTTAATTTTGACACCTTTCTTTATATGTGGCCTAATAGAATATGCATTCATCAAAACTGAGACTTCTAAATCACATTTGATTAGTCACACATTTTTTTCATGTGACTTTATCTTTTTGTTATCAGGCAATGACAAAAAATATAATTCTTCTAAAAACATGGAAAAAGAAGAAATACTAAAAAAAAATGATTCACCTTAGGTTATTCCAAATCTAAGTATTTTGTTAGAAAGTAGAAAAACAGTTGACATAGTAGTTAAGAGTTGCTACATAAGTTAGTTAATTGGTTGAAGTTGTTATAGAACTTTTTGTACAAATAGGAGAATACAAGATAGAGTAGATAATTACTGACTATTGTAATTACGAAAAGAGTTTTCTCTATTGTGAAGGGAAAATTCTTGAAGAGAGATTCCTTCCTAATTCCTAATAAAATTGATTTTTTTATTTATTTTTATTTTAAAACTCATCATCTGATGTTGAGCTCAACTTTTATATTTTTTATAATCAAAATATGTAAATTAAATGTGTTACTCTCTGATTAGAGTATTGCTGAGTTTATAATCAGACATCAAATGACCTATAAAATGATAATACAGAAACAATTTTGTAATACAAGGTGGAATTTGACCCCTAAGCATTTTATACACCACATCAATGAGCAACAACTTATTTTATCATTTTATTCTCAATAACAAATTTGTGTTTAAGAAACTCTAATCAGACATCACAATAATAAATAAATCTACCAATATTCTTGATCAACTGCTCTGTTGACTGTGTTGTAATTACATGACCCTATGCACACCTTAGGCTACATAGGAGATATGTGTTGGAAGCTATCATCCTCTATTGCTTTTTCTTCTTCCTCTTTCAATCCTCACTTTGTATGACACAACTTTATAATAATTATGGAAATGTATATTATGGTATAATTTCTCCAGGACTTATCAACTAATTAGCTTGCATGTTTCTTAAAAAACGGTTTCTGGCATATCAGAAGTTTCTCCTCGCTGTTACTTTCGATTTCTATAACTCTTGCTTCCCATTTCAGCTGTGTTGTTAAAGCTCTAGCTGATTCTACCAAGGGAACTGTGTCACGAATTATAAACCAACCCTGCACACGCGACAAATAACAGCATATCAGAAACCATTTATCTTAGACTCTAAGTTTATAGGAGTCACACGATTTGTGTGACAATAAATTGACACAATTTCAAAATGATTTTTGAAATTGAAAATTCTCCATGACAATAGTCTCTCTGACACAGTTTTAGGTAGTGAATTTAATGACTCAAATAATCTAATGTGATCGAGAATCTTTAATTTGACTTACCTCAGGGCGAAGTAACCTGTCAATTTCAATGAACAAGTCGAGCATAGTGCACTTGCGCGGATGGGAAAATTCAAGGGATAGAAGCCCTGCTGCATGAACCAAGTCATAGGTTCTTGGGTATGTCGGAAAAGCATCACACCTAAAAAGCCACCAAAACTGATAATAATAAGAAAAACTATATACTTCAACACTCTAAGCCAAAGTTAATTGGAAAAACAAAACAATAAATAACCAAGTTTTAATATTTTGCAAGCTTTGAAAGAAACTAATATCAAGATTCAAGAAAACCATAACTCTTACGTAAAATTAGAAGCAAACAAGATTTATAAGATGGAAGAAAGAAAGTAAATTTAGCATAAGCCAGAAAATCCATATAAGAAAAAGAGGAAAGAGATTAGAATACCAATCATGCAAAACGCCAACAAAACCTCGGTCCTGGATCAAGGGAAGATAGTTGAGTCCACTTATTGGGACAGCATTCATTACCCACACAGACTTTCTTGCTTGCAATAATGCATAGTTAAAGCCACCGAAATTAGCATTCATGTCTAGAATATTTCTGAACATGTTGTAAGGTGGTGAAGGGTCCTCGTCACCTGGCCTCTTTGGATGATCAGAAAATATTAGAGGCGAGAGGAGTGACCAATAATTTTGAACAGCTGATTTCCAGCTGTCTGAATCCTCAGCAAATTCATCAGGCAGCAATCCTAGTAGCCATACAAAAAATTTATTCACTAAGGTAACATTACACTATAATCACTTCCATAAAGAACATAACAATTACCATGTATAGCTAGCCCGTTCTTGTTCAAATTTGCCTGAGAAGGCCATTTTTCCCTTTTTTCAATCGAAACCCAACGGCTGCTCTGCGTTCCTCCTATGCAGTTTTGCAGTTCGCGATAATATGGAGACTCCACATCAAGACCTCTACCACACAAAGGGCGAGAACCAGGCTTTCTGATGATAAAAATAGGTAATGCTAAGAATCAATGCCCCTTTTTTGAAGTAAAATCTGTTTCCACGGGTAACGTGAAATAATTTCTCATAAACACAAGTAAAGCAGGATTACCTTTTAGTATAGCAACTCTTTTTACTTGCTTTCTTCCATACAACAGTTTCATCTTGCTGCGATAACATTTCCCAGCAGAGATTTTCTGTAAAGTCGTGCACAAACTTCCACCTTTTCTGATTCTCCTTGTTACGAGCATTGGTAAGTGGTGATGTCCAGACAAAGTATCCACCTGGTCTTAAAAGTCTATCTACTTCAATCAAGAGATTGCCATCTGTACAACACAATATGGATGTCAAAAAGAACACAACATTTTACATACAATAAAAAAATAAAGATCCTAAATTAAAATACCTTTCTGGTCCCAATCAATGCCACATCTTGCACAATGTAACATATCGAAGGACAGAGACGGATAAGGCAATTGTTTTGAAGTGAAAGAAGCAATCATAGCAGGAAGACCCCGCTCGAGAGTAAGCTGAACTTGACTACCAGAAGGCTCATAATTTGCAATGCACAAAGTCAAAAGTTGACTGTCAAAGAGGTGTGCTCCAAAGCTACCATAGCCACAACCTATGTCTAGTATCGTTCGAATCTGGAAATTTCAGGAAGCCAACATTTATCAATCAAAGTCTAAGGTAAGGAATATCATAATCAAACTTAACTCAACTCGATTTCAAAGTCACCGAAATTTATCAGAAAACAACTCCCTCCAAACACAGCTTAGAACAAACAATTCCAGACGAGGGGACAAGCTTATAAATCATATAACACATCTACAAGATTACATTATATTCCCCCAGATACTATTTACAATATTCATATGTTTACTTTAGATAGTTAATAATTGATATATGCAAGGTCTTTCACAGCGGTTTGGGCCTCAACATAACAATTTTTATGTTGCCAAAACCAAGAATTCTCTGCAACACCAAGAATTGTGACGCAACCGTTACCATGATCCCCATTTGAGTGGGTGGAGAATCCCCTCAATATATGCTGAATTCTTCGTCCAGCAAGTACCAAATAAGTGAAGTGTAAATACGATGGATCATAAGAGCCACCCCGAGTAAATGAAATCAACAAACACTCAATTTACACATTTCATATACTTACCCCAGCTTGTCTGAAGGAAGATTCATTTCTAAGTCCAATCATTTCAGCAATCTGATGTGAGTAGTCTTCAACTCCATCAAACATATGAGAGGCTGAACGAAATGAAATTTGTTCTTCATCCAACATCATCATCCTGTAATTGAATGCAGAAAAAATATTAAAATTTTACCGACAAAAAGTGTAATAGATAGCCAGCATGCTTTTAAATTGCAGTTTATAATTGCATTATAAACAATTTTGAGGAATCTGCAATGGTATTGCAAGCGCAATCTTGACTGTATCAGCCACACTTTCCTGCAGCAGCTACAAAGCACGGACACCTTTAGAAGTAGACGTGTCGCGGTGTCCGACACGTGTCGGTGTATGACACTTGTATGACACCCGTACAACACGTGTCGGAAAAGTCAAACAAGTGTCGGAAAAATCAGACAAGTGTCCACTAAAAATTGGTTTCTTTCTTTGCTTCGACACATTTTCAATCGGTGTCCGATACCCATATCACACTCATACAACACGTGTCCGATAATTCAGACAGATTTCCTTTTTAAAAAAAGTGTTTATCTTTTCCTCAACACACTTCATACATTATCTAGACAAATCTCACACATGATTAAAAGGATTAAACATGTATTGAAGCAATGTTATCATAAAGAATTAAAGACATTATAATTTTGATTAGAATATTTTTAACCCTTTTGATATTAGATGAATAAATGAAACTCACATACTATGACATATATAGCAGTGTCGATGTCTTAGGTTTTTGACATAATGGTGTCGGAGTGTCCGTGTCGGAGTTTGTGCTTCATAGTGCAGCAGTATAAAGGTTTGCAGTGTAACTGAAGCTACGAATTTACAAGAGAGATGTCAGATACCTTTTTGTCAAACTTCCGGAAGAAAGAACCTCTTGGGCAGTGATTTTTACATTAGCAACCCAAATAACATCTTTTCCAGTAGGCCATCTAAGAGGAACTTTGTAATTAACCGGTGGCAGAACCAAACAATTTAGCCTCTGCTCATATTCACATTTCCTTTCAAACTCATTCCCATCAGAAACATTAAAACAAGGAACAAAGTTTTCCAACTCAGAAGAACAAGTTTCCAATTCTTTCCACCTTGAAGCGCCCCTAGAAATCTCACCAATATCCACCAAATCAGAAACAAGTTTCTCTTGGAGCCTCCTATAACCATGATAAACACGACCTCTTGACGAAGATGACAAATTCAAAGTCCACCAGAAAGATCCAACAAGAGCAACAACAGCTATAAAAACTAAACTAAACTTCAATGAAAACAACAGCAACTTAAAACGGCTTCTCGGGGTGCCAACAATGAACGGATCAGATGCAAAACCATTCTCTTTATCTGAAAAAACCAACCTCAGAGGAGACCTCAATCCTAAAGGAGTGTGATCTGAAGAACCCCTTTTCTCAAAATCGTCTTTTTCTGTTTTATCTTTGGATTGTGAGTCCCATGACAAATCATTGATGCTGTCAGGTACACGAGTTCCAGACACACCTCTATGTAGAGGCCTGGACATTCTCTATCTCTGAATAACCACTACACAAAAAAAAAAAAACTTCAATTTTCAGTCTTCAACTATTAAATCATCAAACTATTAATGTTCTTGACATCTAAAATGAAGACTAAGAAACCAATAGACAGGTGTTGTTTATATCAATTCAACACGGTTATAAGTTTCTGACAAGAACCCATTTTAGAGAATCCAGTTCCAGTTAAGGAATTACAAGTAAACAAAACCAAAATAAGAGAGAAGAAGAAAAAACAAAACTTTTTCCTGTAAAAGGAATCGAAAACAGAGGAATAAAGACAAGAAAAAAGAGTAATTAATTCACCGCATCTGATATAAATCACGGACCCAGTAATGAAATGGATATATATCACTAACCATTAAAACCAAAACTTAAAAAAAATTGAAAATTTGAAGTATATGGGTTGGTGAGCAGCATTAACAGATTACTACATAACAGTGAATTTCCACTAGCAAGTCAAAAATCATTATTCAAATCAATAGTTATTAGTAAAATATTGAAAGTGTGATTATAGATCAAAGAGTACCTAGTTGTTTGTTGGATGAAAATACAGTAACTTGCAATGCAAAACACAATAGATTAATGGTTTTGTTATTGTTGTGTAATGTGAGAGTGTGTGTGGTGGTTGTTCTATATTTTTCTTTGAGTCATTTCATCGAATGATTAAAGTGCATTGGAAATGAAAGAGAGAGAGAGAGAAAGAGACAAAGAATGAGTTAGCTACAAGCAAGAGAAAGAAGCAAGATGCAAGCAGATTTTGTACTGATCCGATTTCAGCACAGACACTGCTTCGGTTTCAGTACAATTTAATAATATTCTGAAATTTCTATCAGTTTTTGTTTTCTCTTTCTTTTTTGACTCAAATACACTATTTTCTTCAACATTTTTCTTTTCTCTCACATCTTTATTCATCTTTTCTATTTTATTTTTCATAATAGAAAATAAAAAAATACTCTGTATATATATAAAATTAATCGAATTCATTAACGATAAGTAATTGACTCACACACTGAAGGATCGTGGATTTATCTTTTACTTACAATGTAAAGATCTCGTATAAATGATTTAGAAATATCTCTGTAAATGTTTGTTGAACTTTAACGTCTGCTCTAATTATGATAAACTCTTGTACTCCTACCGTTTCTTTATAATTATTATTTAAATTTTTTCACATATAAAGAAAGATAATTATTTTCGTTATTTTTTTAACCAATAAATTTCATTTTATATATAATATTCTTAATTATTTATCACAAGTATTTTCTCTCTCTCTATAATAAATAATTAAGAGTAATTTTGACAAAAGTAGTAATTAGTATTACAGTAGAAATTCTTTAAATTAATACTCGGTAAATTAATAAATTCTCTAAAATAATAAATTTGTCCGGTCCCGACTTTGGTCAATATAAAAAATTGAAAAACTCGATAAAATAATAAGATAATAATTTTTCAAGAGATCCCTTTATAATTTTTGGTCCCAAAAAAATCATAAATTAATAATTCATATAAACTGAAAAAAAATATTACACTCTATTGAAATATGATTCAATAGTTATTTGTTTTTCTTTAAAGTTCAAGTCTATTTGGAGCCCATCTCTAACTTTTCTTATTGCATCCAATAGCTCAGGTGTTGTATTTTTGTATTGTATCATAGAATTGTGAAGAGTGTTCGACGCCATAAGTGTTTCCTTTCGCGTAACAGGCTCCAAAAACATCGTATCATCTTCATTGTATCGTCTTCGCTGTCATCCTCTGTATTGTTCTCAATGATAGTACCCACAATATCTTCTAAACTCCGAATCTCCGAACATGCTTCATTTTCACCTGGGTAGTTCATTAGATTGTCGATAGCCACATTTATTGATCATAGTCTCGAGGTCTTGAGTTTCTTCATCAAAAGTGGATTCATCCAAATTTCTTGCAACGTCACTAGTTGATCAAATTTTACAATGTCGGAAGCAATTCGCTATTGTTTCTTTTCGAACATTTATCGTCCAAGTTGGGATTGCCAAATTGATAGTATCAAGGATATTTATCTTCCCTGGATCAGATTGTCCTACCTCATTATCTTCTAATATTTTGCGGTAAAATCTTCTACGGTAATGCATCTTGAAAGCTCTTATTATCCCAGCATCGCATGGTTGAATCTTTGATGTCATGTTGGGTGGCAAGAAGAACAACTCAACATTTCTTAGCCCTTCAATGTTTCTTGGATGTGCTGGACAATTATCCACCACAAGTAGAACTCTTCTACTATGCATCATTTGATCAAATGAACGAACATATTCATCAAAAAGCACACTAGTCATCCATGCTTTTTTGTTAGCTCGATACTGACAATCCAAACTATTTATGTTGACATTCTTGAAGTAACTAAGCTTTGTATTTTTCCCAATAATCCATAGAGGGATTTTTTTCAGAGTCATCTTCATTGCAACAAATAACTATCGTCATCCTTTCTTTATCTTGTTTTTGTAACACCCCGTTTCTACCCGGCGGATAATAATAAAATCAGAGTTCAACACAATTAGGATGCTACATTTTCAACTTAAAATCAAACTTCATTTAATCGCATATAAACAGATACATAACACTTAATTCAGATGAACCGATAACCACATGATTTATTCTTTAAAATCAAACAACTTTTTCTTGATAAGCAGCGGAATATACATACTCAATTTCAATTCACTTAACATCTTTTATTCAACTAAAACAACTTCAAGACAACAATTATTTCATGTAATCAACTTAAAAATTCGGCAACTGAAATAAATATCCACAACTAAACATCAAGCGTGCATCCCCCCGAGTGCTACGTATCAGAGCGACGACACCAACTCGAACTAACAGAGTAACAACTATCCTTCAAGATTACCCGCACGTTACCAACAAAGGGCAACATTCAAACAGAAGGGGTGAGATATCGGACAATATAATAAGTCGTATGATAAATAATATATTAAATCAGATCATATAAAATTACCACTTCACAACTTACAAACAACTTTAATCTCGACAAAACATCAACACGAAATAACTACTAATTCACAACTTTTAGATAATACCCGTCACAACAAGTCAACAACATAAGGCAATAACAAATATATAATCACCACAACTCAAGATGTGACATCAACAGTGACTCAATTACAATGCACATGCATGTGGTACCATTGGGGCATAACTCCCATCTTAAAAATCTACCAATAAATAGAGGCATCAACAAGGCATAAGCCTTCTTCGCAGTTTGTCAATCTAGGTCATCACAGAGTATGCAAATGTATGTCACTCAATGAATGCACCATCACATACTCACAACAATCATCATTCATCGCAAGGCATAAGCCCACATCACCATTATTACCAGTAAATAGAGGTAATTCATCATCATCTAAAATTCTCTGCAACTTCACATTACCAACAAGAATTCAGAGACAATCACAACAACACAACATCTCAACATTAGCCATAGGCCTGCAACTTTATATTGCCACTAAATAGAGGCAACATAACAACAACAACAACAAATATTAACAACAACATAACCATAACTATTCAACTTTGGCAACAAGCCTACAACTTGATTCTTGCCAATAGTTAGAGGCAATACAACAAAATTCACCACCTGCAACTTCATAATTAACTACAACAATTATTCTGTATAGTTATTCGGAAAAATCGACTAAATTCTGCTAATTAATATCTCGTTAAATTATCATCATTTTCTACTCTTCACTTCACAATTTTAACAGCAACAACAACAACAACACAACAACTTATTTATACTCATACTATTATTACAGGTCTCATTAATACTACTTGCTACCAGCATATAATGTCTATCATCCACCTAATAAGTTACTACTAACTACTACTTTAATCTTCTACCAACTTATTCTACTAAATGATATTCGCTAATCATGTACATATATTACTATGATTTGCTGTCAATTACTATCTCTGCCATTTCCAATGCTCCTGCTACTTTAATAATTCTGATACTAAATTATATTTACTAACATGTATCAAATTAATTAATCAGTTCTAGTATCTTGATAGAAGTTCTTAATTTATTACCAAATATTAATTTCATTATAAATTATTATCGTTCATGCCTACAAGAAGCAAAACAAAACAATTAATTAAAATAGTATAACAACATTAAATATGCCACTTAAAACATGGTGTGCCACTCGGCACACCCCTCATAATTCAGTGTGCCCCTCGACACAATATTATCCCCCTCGGCACACCATCCTTTTGTGTCGTTCGGCACAGTCTGTGTGCCCCTTGGCACACCCAAACCTTCGGTTTTTACTGTCGCGCAGAATTTTCTGCAACTGATTCTTATACTCAATTTTCACCTTTGATTAACAGCAATAAAAAATTTCAACAACATCAGTGTTCACAGGAAACCAACTTTATACTAATTTACAGCAAGAACACAACAATAATTCAACACAATATTTAACATTATTCACACACACATAACAAGTTTTTCATACGAACTAATTCCCACATAAAATTTATCATGCAACCCATTAGATAGTCAGAACCCCACACTTACCTTAGATTGGAGGTCGCTCTATTCTACCGGTTAAGGTCTCTCGCCGTAGCTTCCAACCTTTGCCTCTTCTCTGTAACTTTGCAACTTCTCACGTTCCCACAAAATTCTCCAAGACTTGTTCAATTAACCTAATTCTCCTTTTAATTAGCTTAACCTTATAAATATTACTATTCTTATTGGGCCTAACTTTCACACCCCACCTATTACTCCATACAACCAAATAATGAGCCCAACTAATAAATCTTATATTATTCTATTATCTAGATTAATATTATTGCTAATATTAATCAACCAAATAACAACTTAGCAACTTAAATCAATATTTCTCGACATTTCGCAACTTCAACAATTTCAATAATATATTTAACCATTAATCCGTAATTAATTTAATTAAATAAGTAATTAAATTAACGGGAG